TTAGCAGCACGCCATAAAATCCTTACGTCTCTACCAGCACCACATTGGAAACTTGTTTTCATCTAGGGACGGGAGGGAGTGTGTTGTACACGGTTACAAGTCAGTCAGCCTTTCTTTATTTCAACTGGGTATGCAGTCATCATCATCTCTCCTAATGTTTTATCTTTGAGTGTAGATCGGGAATTCAATGGAATGGTAGGTTTGGATTAGTCGTGTATTTTTATTGTCAAATGATCCATCCTTCACGTAGCCTGTTTCAAAATGAAACCCCTACGTAATAACCGGTCACGTATAAATCAACCTAGCTGTTTATAATTCTACTCTCAGCTCACAAACTACAGGGCGATGCAAACTGACATCTTAATTTTCGTGAATGATACTGAGATGGTCTTGAATTACTTGTGTAGAGTACGCCCGTATGTGTCAGTTAATTTCGATTCGTGTCCGTGAAAAGTAGCATTACGTAGTTCCTGAAACGAAATAAACGAATGCGTGGCAACGAGTAGCCAAATCATGCGATATCCTTCTCCTCCGCCCCAAACTGATCATGAACCCGGGATTAATGATTACGAGCTGGTCGCCTGCGTTGCAGAAAATAGCCACGATGCACAAATTGCTCAATCGATGCCACCAGCTCGGTGTAGTAAAGTCTGAACGGTGGGATAAGGAAAACTGGAGCTTCTCTGTTCTCGGTTTTGCATAAAGCCGCTTTATATTAGTTCGGAAAGCTGATTAAATATTCTGTCCTATTGGAAAGAGGCAATTTTATTGGCTGGGAAAATTTAACTAAGGAAAGGTGGTTTGGGGAGAAATGTACACTTTAAACTGAGAGTGCTCCAAATACCTAGGACACTGATCGAATTTTAGGCTGAGCGCAACATGATAGATTTCAATTTTTCGACACCCGGGACTGTGTGCTTTGAATCTGACTTTTACTAATCAGTAGGTAGGGAATAGAATAATAAGCATCGCAATTCAGATAGATTTATCACATCACACGCAGTTTTTCACATCCCCACTGACTAATCTGATATGTCCTACAATTTACCCATTTTCCAATCCTTTAAGGGTTGCGACACAGCAGGAGAACGACTGTGCTTTTCATATTTCAATCTGTCAGAACTAGCTAGAATTGATCGAAGCACCAGTGAAACAAAGAACCATTGGCTCCGAGGCGTTGACTTTACTTACTCACATAGCATCCGTATTTTTCTCATTGGGTTTGCCTCTTTTACTGCATCATTTTCATATTAAAAATGAGAAAAAAATAACTCCGAATTTACTTATTCGGTTCTCCGTGCAGATCGTATCAGTGACCCGGAGGCTCGACTAGCTTTGGCTCTCTTTCGGTGAGTTCTCCCCCTCCCGTTATGCGGAGTACGTCTCGTGGTCCCGTGAGCCACCGGTTTTGTAGGTCATTGATGGACTTTGCCATCGGTTTTTATCTCACAAATGTGATGGGATTGCGTTACCTTTATGTTTCAATGTTGAACCGTGACGAAGACGATGACAAGAACAAAGCGGGCGCCGTTTATCTCCAAAGTTTGGTGATGCCGATGTGTTTGCAGCGCGGATAGCCATTTACAGGATTTGACCAGCACCAGTTACCTCAAACAATTTGGTGTCGTGCCTGGAAATGTACACACACACTTCACGCAACGTCAGTAATCACGATTGTTCCCATCATCATTTTGCTAACTGGGTTACCACCACTTGATACAATCAACCAGTTAAACGTCATCGGCTCCCGAACAATTTTCTCGCATTCCTCTTGGATCTTTCCGTTTCACACAAGGGGGGGGGTACTCCTTCATCCGCGCGGATAACCGTTCGCCCCAGGCCCTTAACAACCAATCAGTGTGCTAGATGAGACTATTCATTCAGCTGAACATCATTTGCATTATGTCGAAGAGTTTATACCCATCAGTTGTAATCTAATGCGGGTCTACAACTGGAGGAATTGTACGTTACCGGACTCATATCCAGGTTGCGTGCAGTAATATCGTCATTTGATTGGCTAGTTGTAAACAGAGGGACTTTTTTGTTTTAAATAAGCGCTCTCGATCGATCCCCCAGATTGCCTGATTTTTAACTGGCCAGCAACCCCTGCAACAAAAGCCCCATATGCCCATAAGTAGCATTGCGACGTGTGCAAATTTGGCTCCCCCATCCAATAAAGGCCTAACTATCGCCTTAATTTGTCTCAGGTGGCTCTTCAAGGGCTAAAAACAGTTCTTCGGAGAAGAAGCCTTGATGCTCGGGATGCCAAACTTCTTCATAGGAGATAGTCGTCTTGATGAACAGCAAAGAAGAGTAGAGTGAATGCAGACTCATTATACTCGCGCATCTTTTCGAATGTAAATAGAAGCACTAACGAATTCCGGAAACCTCTGTTCTATCCGCGATCTTCCCAGATCGTTATATACCTTCATTCAATCGATGTTCACAGTCCTTATCGTCATTATGTGTAAGTCTGTTGATTATGCGCTGAACAAAGTGACCAATAGTTCGACGGAACAAGGTCAACTGTATGGAATATGAGTTACGGTCCATTTCCAGCACCGTTCTAAAGCCTTACTGTGCTCCTCATTATCTTCAGCGTAGCCAAAAACGCCACCAACGGCATATGCAGACGAGTATTTAGCCGCCTCTCCACCAGTGGGAATCACCCATCAGTTTCCGCTGCCTCTATCTCAAAACTCGGTTCGTCAGGAATGTGACCAGTATATTTTTTTAAGTGTACAGTTCGCACCAGTCAGACTAGCTAAACAAAGTCTCATGCAGACCAAACATAAAAAGACTTGACGGCAATAAACTAAACGGTCACCCCGAAAGGACAAGGCGTATTGAATAAATTGGGTGTTCGGGCTCGTCCCTTGGGTATAGGATTCGAAGAACCGGATAGTGGCCCTCAACGGATTGCGGTTTTCGCCCATCCACCATTGCTTTGGCTTTCGGGTTAAACTTTGGGTAACAGATAACTTCGGTTGTAAATCCTCCCAGAAAATTCACCTGCTTTGGCATAGACGGTCTGTTATAGTATTCCGCCCACAAATAAATCATGAAGTGATCGGTTTATCAGATGGCTTCTTGCACCATAATTCGTTTGGCACATAGTGCTTACACTCACACAAGTGACGGTGAGCCATCAGGTTAGGAGCCGGAACTGTTGTGCTATACGATCTATGGTCAAGACTAGAGCGCACGGTTTTATAGATTTTTTGCACGGCTACGCTTGAATTAGCTAATTCCATTTTGACTGGTACCACCACGTACGACATGTGTTGATCTTGTAATTTGTGGGTAGTATTATCTCCTAGGGAGTTTGTTTATTATCTGTACGTATTTGGATGCATTGGGTGCATTTTGTATGTTGACCGACACTGTTTCATCCTTGTTCCGCTTGGTACGAGTCTCTTGAAGGACCAAACAATTAGAGACATTTAGTGAGTAGTGGCGTTCGTGCATCTTCTCAGATTCTTCGCAACCTCAGTCCACTAAAATTTTCCATTTTCTCGCCAACTCTACTTTCAACTTTCCCTTTCGTTTTCCTACTATTCACCCAAATGGGCACTAAAGTGCATGGTTAATGATTGCACAAACTGAAACTGATGAAAACAGTCAGATAAATGTTATGAGCTGCACACGCACACGCACGATTAATCTCAAGCTTTAATTTCTCAGGTTAAACAACCGTTAACCTTACGCTTCCACTCCATGTTCTTGCTTGTTTTCTTTTGGTTGCTCATTCGGATAAAGGACTAGAGGGAACAGTTAGAAAGTATTGTAACAACACTGTACATTTAGGGGGTGGGGCAATCATCATCATCATCATCATCATCATCATCGTACAGCGCGAGACACAGTGAAGCGAGCTTCACTGATCGCTGCCAAGCTCACAATGTACACAAATCAAGTGATA